TGGGGGGTGATTTCTCGCTTTCTGTCTCTATGTCTCTCTCTGTCTGTCTGGCGAGCGCACGCGCCCTACAGTAAAAATCTCTCAAAAAAAAAACAAAACAAAAAAACCTACTTCTGTTCTTCCTGAACACTGTTGAGTTAGCATGAGTTTCTTTTTATTTCTTTTCTTTTTTTTTTTTTTGTTGTTGTTATAGGGGACGCATGCGCTCACCAGAGAGACAGAGAAGGACAGACAGAAAGCGAGAAATCACCCCCCAGGGGGGATGGCCACACGGCAATCCCTTCTCCTCCATTCGCCTCTTGGGATCTTGGGCATGCACGCACACACACCTGAAGTGAGTTTAAGCCACCGGGTCCGAGACTCAAACCATGGTCGACTACATGGGAGTTCAGCGACATAGCCATTACGCTAATTGCTGGCTCTGGGTTAGCATGAGTTTCTAGTTGAATTTTTCTCTCACACTTTTCAGTATTTAAATGGATCCTATGCAGCTATTCCCCCAAATGAACTCATGTTGAAAATGACCTTTTGCATTGAGTACCTTTTCAAAAATCACTCTACATGTTTATTTTCTGACAGTGGGAGATAATTCGGGAATCAATAAAGAACTGATCTCAGGGCAGAGACTGTTTCCATTGGAAATGGACCATACCCACAGCCCACCACATACGTATTTGTTCCAACGCAGTTACGTGAAATGGGGGTAGCCCATCAGGAAGGCCTTATATACGCGTAGGATCAACTTCTCAACTGGCCAATCACAAGTCCAGAAGGACGCATGCGGCCCTTGCCTTTTCTAATCTGGCTTTATAGGCCTCGTGGCCTTGAGCATGCGCACTAGCTGCTAGATGTTCTAGGCGCGCCCAGAACCGTTACCGCTTCTTCCCCTCGAGGTAACAGCTGTGTGGGAGTGTACTGCGCAGGCGTGTTGCACAGTGTCCCGCCCCTGGTGACGGTTTAGTCCAATCACCAGCCGAAGTACCAAACGCGTCTTCTTTTGTGAGCTGAGAGGAGATGGCAGGGAGGTCGGGGCCTTCGAATCTGGAACCCGTGGGAACCATGGACCGGGGTGAAAAGGCCAGAGGTAGTTGTGGGAGGCGAAAAATGGCCTAGCTCAAGAACTGGACTCAAGAAAAGGCTGGGAACGGAGTTTGAGCTCATTTCAGCGGGACAGGGTGGGAGCGCGGGTTGGCTTCTCAAGTCATAGCAGTTGTGAGGTAAAATAACTACGAAATTTTTATTATGAAAAATTCAGACTATTCTACAAAGATGAGGGAATAACTGCCCACACACTCACCATTTCGTTTTAACACATTTGATTTGTATCCCATTTGCTTTTAAAAATAAGTTAATTAGTATTCCCAAGAATTTCCATATGCATTTCTTAGAACAGTGGAACAAAGACATTTTCCTAACACCAGCTAACCTAAGAGAATAATTATCCATTATGCTAATCTTAGAACCAGCACATACCCAAATTTCTGTGTTAGGACAAAATGGGTCTTAATGGTGGGTTTTACTCATTAACCTAGAATCCACATGTCTCAAAGAGCCCCAGTCTCTCCTAGAGAAAATTGACACCCCACATCTTTCCATTTGTTTCTTCCGTTACTGAGAGATAGCTTCTGGGGACCTCACCTGCAAAAAGCTGGGATAAGGTAGCTTGTTTCAATTATATAGAGGTTCAGAAATTGCAGTCTGCAAAAAGAAAAATAAAAACATTCTCTTGCTATAATTTATCTGCTGTTAAGAGGGTGTGCTTCTGGGTGTTCTGTAGGGATTTTTGACTTACACAAAATTGAGAATTGTACATTGAACTCCAACTTAACGAATCATTTAATTTGTAATGTCTGCTTTGTAGGCTTCTTTATCCCCATCCCCCAAGTTAAAATATTACAATCAATGTATAACACATGTGTGTTGTTCCTCTAGATCTACCTTTAGTAGTGCAGGATTGGTTCTGCACCATTTTTTTTTCAGGATGTAAATTTGTATACTGAAATAATCTTATCATGGAAAGCTTGCTTGGAGGAAGGCGTGGTACCCAGTGACAATCCGCAGCTAAGACAGGACTGGAAGTAAACTAGACAAGCATATATATTCCTTTTATTAAGCATCTGTTGTGTCCAACACTGTACTAAAGAAGCCTTTCAATATTGTAATTCCATGTTTTTCAGATAATCTATTAATGTATACATAGGTAAAGTTTTAATCAGCATCACCAGTGTGTTAATCAGTTTCAACTGCTATAACAGAAATATCATAGACGAGTGGCTTCTAAACAGCAGGTATTTCGCACAGCTCATAAGAACTGGAAGCTAGAAAGTTCAAGATCAAGGTGCAGGCGGATTCAGTGTCTGATGATCTGATGAGGGCCTCTTTCTTATTCACAGACTTCTGTCATCTCATTGGGTTCTTTCATGGCAGAAGTTGTTAGGGAGTTCTCTCTGGATTCTTATATAGACACTAATCCTATTAATGAGGGCTCCACCCTCATGTCCTAATCATCCACTCTTAGGGCTTACCTCCTAATACCATTACACAGGGGTTTAGAATTTCAATATAGTAATGGGGAGGGGGCACAAACATTCAATCTATTGCAGTCAGCAGTGGAAGAAATTTAAGAGAACAAGATTCCAGTTTTTAATCTATCAGACTGTTTTACAAAGTAAGTTGGCACGCTCGCTGTCTTGTGATAGTGACATTCTGAGGACATAGACCTTCCAGTACTGAGCTGGTAGGAAGTCTTTTAATAAAAGCATTGTAGTTGCCAACCTGGCAGGATTTTAAGCATTTAAATTGCTTTTTCCTTTTTCAGTCACTATCCTAGGGGATCTCACAAAACACATAGATACACAGACTGAGTACAGTCACTGGATCTTCAATGTTGGTAGCAAAACATGGGTAGAGAATAGTAATATCCAGATATATCAATGCACACTACAGAATACTTGTGCCATGAATTTCTAAAATGAGGAAGAACATAATTAAGTCAACTTTCAAATTATTAGACATGACTTTACTGATACAGCATGATCTTCCAAAGATATTTTTATGAGGAAAGAAAGTTGGAAAAATTATATTACTTGTAAGTTTGACAGAAATGCTAGAGGCTGCTTTCCTGAGTGATGACTCTGGGGAAGGGGTTTGGATTTTAAGGGGAATGTGGAGATAAACGGACATTTTAGTCTTACTGTTTTATTTTTGTTATAAATATGTAGAGGCTACTTGTGGAACTTTAACATGTAAAAGAGAAAAGGAATTTTTAATTTTTATTTTATTTGGGGGGATTTTCTGAATTTGGGGATCAAATGTTAATATCTATTCCTGTTATCTCTTGGTTTTGATTATTATACCATGATTACCAAATAGGCTGCCTTTATACTTTGCACTGAAGTATTCAAGGATAATGGGGCATTGTGTCTGTAACTCATGCTCAAAGTTCAGAAATGTTAGCAATTGAGTGATCTGGATGAAGGATATACAGTGTTCTACTTCTGTAATTTTTATGTAAATTTGAAATTACTTTAAAATACAAAGTTAGAAGCATGAGGCTCATACTATCTAGGCTGTTTTGTACCCTGGACTTTGTTAATAAGATATTAGCTGGGTCATTCAACAGATATTTCCTCTTTTCCCATTTTGAGCCTATAATTACTGGACTAGACATACAATGGAGAATAAAAACAGAGATTCAGCCTAATTCCTAGTCTGTTAATAATAATACCTGGAAAAATGGTTGCTTAAACTACAACTCATTTTTGGGTGATTTGAGGAAATTTGAATATATGTGAGTATTGAACTATTTTCTGGAATTACTGTTCATAAAATATTTTTGGAGGTGAATGCTAATTTGGGGTGAAATGTCAAGAGGCCTTGGACTAGTTTCAAGAGACTTAAACACAGGGAACCAGCAGTTAGCGTAATGGCTATGTCGCTGGATTCCCAGGTAGTCAACTGCGGTTTGCGTCCTGGACCCGGTGGCTTAGAACTCATGCTGGGCATGTGTGCGTGCATGCCCAAGATCCCGAGAGGAGAATGGAGAAGGGATTGCGGCATGACCATCCCCCCTGAGGGGTGATTTCTCGCTTTCTGTCTCTATGTCTCTGCCTGTCTGGCGAGCGCACACGCCCTATAGCGAAAACCTCTCAAAAAAAAAAAGACTTAAACTCAAAGAAAAGAAAGACCTGAGGCAAATATGGCAAGGTAGTAGCAATACTCATAGATGATAAGTAAATCAGGTTCATTACAGTACCCTTTTTGCTTAAAGTACATATAATCTTTTCATAATGCAAATTAGAGAAAACTATTAGGCACACTTTGCCTTGTCATTCATTATTTTAGTAGCTTTAATTTTTTAAAAAGAGATCTAGAAGGAGACATACCAACTTGTTCATGGTAGTTTGCTCTGAAGAAAGCAGTAATATTAGGGCCAAAAAAATTGACAAGGTTATTTTTCATAATTCTGTGGCTTGCACATTTTAAGACAGAATTAATCCATGTGTTACTTGCATATAGAACTTAAAGTATTGCATAAAATGTATTCTAGGAAAAGGCCTAGTCTTCACCAAACTGGTTGCAATTATTTTTAGAGAAGGGAATGACTAGGGAAAGGTGTCAGTGTTTTCGTCTGTGTTCCTGAATAATTTAAAAATTGAATGCAAAAATTTATGAACAGTAATTTGTATAAGATTTCAGGTGGAACCAAAATAGAGGTGAATTAACCCCCCTCTTGCCCAGTAAATTAAAACCCAGGCATTTTATACAATTTAATGCATAATTTTTAATGGCTGTAAATTATTTCATCTTGGGGGCTGACAGGCGGCATGGTAGTTAGGGCACTGGATTCCCACATGGCTGAACGTGGTTTGAGCCTGTACCTGGTGGCTTGTTTTCTCACTTTCCCTCTCTTCTCTGGTCAAAATTTAAAATAATAATAATAAAATTAAATCTTAAAAAATTTAATCCTGTAGATATGCTATAATAATAAATCCCTAAGACATTTTTAGGCCGCTCCGAGTTTTTTCTTTTTTAACTATTGTAAACAACACAATGATGAACATCCTGTCCTTCATAATTATTTCCTTCGGATATTTTCTTAGGGTGATGCATTCATCTAACATGGTATTTACTATCAGAAAGTTTGTAAGGAGACTCTAATTTTATATATGTGATTGACAAAGACGAACATGTTTGAAAACATAGCTGTTTGGTAAAAGTCGAGTACTAAACATCTTGTACACATTGATGAGCTATACCCCTTTGGAAGACAATTTGATAAAATTAATCAAAAGTGTGACAAAAACTCTCCTTGACCAAACTTTGGCCAGGCTCCTCTAAAGCCCACATCTCTACCAAACCTCAGATTTGGCCTATCTTTAGCAAGAACCCTGCTAATTCAGTTTAACATGATTCTCTCCATTCTTGATATCCCTTCTTAGTAATTTTCTAGCCCTTGACCCCCTCACTCTACCCATTGTCTATAAATCCCCACTTGTACCTACTGTATTTGAAGTTGAATTTAATGCGCTTCTCTGTTGTAGTAGTGTTGACTTCTTTTGCAATAGCCTTTACTAAAGTCTTTCTTACTGTTTTTAACAAATGTCAAAATAATTTTTCTATGTAACAGTTTAATGATGCTCCTTCCTTGACCAAATATTGGACAGGCTCATCTGAATGCTCTTTTTGACTAGACTTCAACCTTAACATTCCTGTAGCAAGGATCTTGCTAAATCAATTTAGTAAAATGTGTTGTGCTGTTGATATCTGATCAAATTCATCATTCTCTGCTTTTGATATCTAAGCCCTTGGCTTGCCTTTAGCAATATTTTCCCACCCTTGATATCTCTGGTGAGTAATTTTCAAGCCATTGTCCCTCTGACTGCCCATTGGCTGTGAATTCCTACTTTTTTTGTGTTATATTTAGAGTTGAGCTAAATCGTCTTCCCTATTGGCAGAGTTGACTCTTATTAAAATAGTCTTGAATAGAATCTTTCTTAATTATCACAGTAATTTTTTGTGTATGGTATCTGTTAATATACCTACCCCAGATATACCAAATAGGCTTCTCAGAATTCATGTGATTGATTTTTCCACGTGTGTACAAAGACGAATGCTAAGATATGGTCATTGCAATATTGTTTGTAACATCAAAACAAATAAAATAACCTGAATGTCCATCAGTAGAAGAGTGCAGTGAAATTATAATACACATATACAGTGGCCTAACATGCAGCCTTTTAAAAGAATAAAAGAGTTCTATATATATTAACATGAAAACACATAAAAGATACATTGATTTTAAGAAATTAAGGTGTAAAACTTTGTGTCTTATATGCCATAATCCTATAGAACAAGGATAAAGGGTTTGGGGGAGGTGGACGTAGGCTTGCCTTTGAATCATATTATTTTAAGAATTACACAAATAATTGGTAACAGTGATTTTCTCAAGGGAGTGGAATCGGGGAGCTGATGTGAGAGGAAGACTATTCGCTTTATATTATCGTGGGTAAATAGTCCTTCATTTACTTGAGAGCCATCATGTCCTTTTGCAAACTTCCTTTCAACATACTGTGTTTGTTTTTCTTGAAATGGAAGATTTGGTTAGATTTGGTTTTTCTTGCTGACCTTCAAGAGTTTTTAAATTGTATACTTTTAAATATAAACTTCTAAAAAATATACCAATATGCAGATGAATATGTGGTAGAAAGTAGACATCCTCCTGCCAGTCCCCTGACTCGCAGCTGTACCCTCCAAAGATAAGCACTATTAACAATTTTTTTTTTTTTAGTATGTGATTCTGACCTGAAATGATGTAGACATGGCATACATACATTTATTCATTGGCTAGTATGTCCACATGGAATTCTATATTACATCATTTTGCACTTTCTTTTCGTTTAACATATCTAGGCTGTTTTTCCATATTAACACGAATGAATTTACCTCCTTTTCCATGTCTACACAGTCTTCTATTCTGTGGATGAAAAATAAGTCCTCTACTGATGGACATCCAAGTTATTTTCTATTTTTGCTTTGAAAAATATAGTTCAAAGACATTGAACATGGCTTTTGCATACTTAAGTGAGGATATCTGATGGATACATTTCTAGAAGTAGAATTATGTTTACAAAATGTTTATGTAAGCCCAGCTACAGTGGTGTGCACTGCTGACATGCTGTGCTCTCAGGCTAGGACCTCGTGGGAGGGCTATATTTTATATGCAGTCCAACCTAAAGGCAAGTGAGGCAGTGTGGGCCTGTAATCCCCTGAGAGGCGAGGACAAGGGGATCAAGCACTGGAGATTGGCTTGGGTAACATAGCAAGCATTTAAAAAAGAACCAGATATGATGGCACACGCCTGTAATCCTAGCTGAGAGGCGAAGGCAGGAGGATCACAACATGGTGAGGCCATCTTTTTTCTTCTTAGGTTTTTTTTTTTTTTTTTTTTTTTTTTTTTTTTTTTTTTATAGATCATGTGTGCTTGCTGGAGAGAGAGACAGAGACAGTAAGAGGGAAAATGAGAAATCACACAGACACACCTGCCACCAGGGTTGGTAGGGAATGGCCATGCTACAATCCCCTCTTCTCCATTCTCCTCCTGGAATTCTGGGCATGAAGGCACACGTGCCTAGCCCAATTTTCAAGCCACCATCTCCAGGACACAGACTGTAGATGGCCATGTGGGAGTACAGCGCCTTAACCAGCATGCCACTTGCTGGTCCTGGTGGGACCATCTTTGTAAAATACTCAGACTTGGCACAGCAGATGGCTTAGTGGTTACATATCCCAAGGTGACATGTCTTTTTATGGTGGTTCATGATGACTGGTTACCTTTATTATGATGTTAGTGCCATAAGTAGTTAATTTCCCTAAACCTACTAGTTCAGTAGGGAGTTAAAAATAGATGCCTATAATGATTATAAAAAACAAATAGAAAATAATACTTTGCATTGAGGCTTCAGAATCAATATTGTTTGTATATAGGAAAGCTATTTCTAGTTATATAAGTTGAGCATCCTTAATCTAAAAATATGATTTTGAAATTCTCCAAAATCCAAAACCTTTTGAGTGTAGAAATGATGCCACAAATGACAAATCTCACACCTGACTTCATGTGCTGCATTATAGTTAAAATGCTAAATAAGGCTGGCCCTGTAGTCTGGTGTTTAAGGGACCTATATTCCATGTGGCTGACTATGGTTTGAATCTGGCCTTGACATCTTGAAAAACATGCTGAGTGTGTGTGTATGCATGCCCCAAATCCCAACAGGATAGAGGAAGAAAAAGGATTGTACTGTGTCTACATTCCCTTGGGGGGGATACTTTCTCTCATGAGTACATATACCTTCTGATTAAAAAGCTGCTATAATATTGGGTGTTGGGAAACTCATGATGCATTTTGCAGCATAGAAAAATACATTGTGACTTTCCCGATAACCTAATACAAAAATACTGTATAAAATTACCTTCAGAATATGTATTTATTTATGTGTGTGTGTGTGTGTGTGTGTATACACATGGCTATATAAAACATAAATGAGTTTCATGTTTACACTTGGATCCCATCCCTAAGATATCTTATTGTGTTTATGCAAATATTCCAAATTTTTTTTTAAAATTCAAAAATCTGGAATAATTCTGATCTCAAACATTATGGATAAGGTATATTCAATTTATTTATTGTTTAACCAGACTTAAAGCAAGAAATCACCCCCCTCGAGGGGATGCCCACCTGCAATCCCTTCTCCTCCATTCTCCTCTTGGGATTTTGTGCATTATATTTTCTTACTAGTCTTGTGGTTTTGTAGCTATTCTATAGAACTTTCTAATTTATTATGCTACCTTCCAGTTATAGCGATTTTCAATGTCAGTTTTCCAGTTTTCTTAATATACATTTTTTCGTATTATTAGATTGTGACCTTTATCCAACTTTGAAAACTTTGAATAGCATCAGCAGTGAGTTGAACCTCTGCTCTCACCCTGAGTTTTATGAAGGGGATATCTGTGATGTCATTTCATCCTGTAGGGTATATAGCTGACCATAGAACATCCCAGTTCATCTCTGTGCACTGTCTTATCTCAGAACAAGGAGTGGTGCACCTGCTCTGGAGACCTGCTTTCAGCCTTCCTCAGTCCTAGCCCTGAGCCATCCTTTGTCCTGTAGCCCTACTAAATTCTGAAATGTCTGGTTTTGTCTCCACAGGACAGGACACATCCTCACAGAAAATTGAAGATTTGATGGAAATGGTGAAAAAGCTTCAGAAAGGTCACATATCTCCTCTGTACCTAAGGCTCAGCCTGAGATTTGGGGTCAGACAGAGGTTTGGGCAAAGAAAGATGTGGGTTCAATTCCAGGCCTGACAATTCACCATCTTGGGGAATTCACTTTTTATGAGTTTTAATACCTTAAATTAGTAATAAGATATTAAATCAAAATTAAAGAAGATTAAGGAATTAAAGGCAAAATGTTTTCTCAAAACCCCATCTAAGGTCTTTGCTGATTATCCATTTGGTTCCCACTGTACTCTGCTAGATCTAAAAGTTTTCACCTTTATGTCTTTTCCTTCTGCCTCACTTGCTGCTACTTTCTACTTGCTCACCGGACTTTTCCTAGCCATAGTCCTACCTTTGCACTGACTATTTCCCACTCTACCCAGAAAAGGTTTCAGAACCTACTTCTCTCATTTGATTTGGGGTCTTAAGATTTCTTTTTCCTTTCCTTTCTTTTCTTTTTTTTTTTCCTTGTAGAGAGGTTTTTGCTGTAGGGTGTATGTGCTCACCAGAGAGACAGAGAGAAACAGAGAGACAGAAAGCAAGAAATCACTCCCCTCGAGGGGATGCCCATGCTTCAATCCCTTCTCTTCCATTCTCCTCTTGGGATTTTGTGCATGCATGTGCTTGCATCTGGTGTATGTTTTAAGTTGCTGGTTCCAGGACTTGAACCACAGTCAACTACATGGGAGTCCAGCAACATAACCATTACTCCATCTGCTGATGTCAAGATACCTTTTCTTTTTGAGAACCACCTCTAGTTCTTTACTCTTGATATCTTTGTTCCCATTTATTTCTCTTGAACATAACCTGAGTTGGTATTTCTCTTTGTTCTTTGTCTCCTCTACCCACAATGCATTCTCTATGTTAGCCTCACACAGAAGGTGCTTGCAGTTGGTGCTCAGTGGATTTGTGTTGAATGCAAGCATCAGAGACACAGGGATGGCACCACTCCATTTCTGCTTGCTCTGTCATCAACTCAACCTCCTTTCCTCCCTGCAGTGGGAAGCCTAGAGCCTCGGGTTGAAGTCCTGATTAACCGGATTAATGAGGTTCAGCAAGGTGAGCATAAGGACGTTGGCTGCCCATCAAGATGAGTTTTATGATTTGTCAAACCCCATGCAAAATGCAATTGTTTGGATTATTGTTCAAAAATTACTGGATATTTTATGACAGCAATACCAGAGCAGTAAATGAAGCACAAGGCTAAGCAGCTGCCACAGTTGTATGCCCATAAATCTGGTCCTGCTGCCAACTGAGCCCAACAAAAAGGACCTGGATTCTAGAAACCTCATTTTCTACTCTACAAAATTTGGGATTTTCTAGGTTTACTTGAATGCAAATGTGAAATGTCACTGTTTGCAAGAAAATAGTGTACCTAGAGGCTGTACTCACACAGTATCTGTCCTTTTTGAAAAAGCAAAAAAGAAAGCCAGTGAGGAGCTGGGAGAATCCCGGACTGTCTGGGAGGCCCTGCAGAAGGAACTGGACTCATGTAAGTGAGCTAAGGGTCATCCAAAAGTCTCCAAAATATCACAAGCCTCTTCTAACCCAGTATTTCAGATACTCAGTATCCTTGCTTTGGCCAAGGCTCTAACCCTTTTCCAGCCTCATGCTCTACCAATCTACCCTTCCCCCTCTCTGCTTTGGAAGTGTTCCAGAAACTCCTTCTAAACATCCTTCCACCTTTAGGCCTTTCTCAAGCTGCTTTGTGTGTTTCCCCAGATAGTATAGGTTGCTCTTGCCTCATGTCATCATTGAGCTCTGACTTTAGTATTCTCTTCTCAGAGAAACTTTCCCCAGTCATCTCAACGTAGCACCCTTTTTTCCACCTGCTCATATGGCCCTTACTCTTTGATGTATTTTTTTCATAACCTATATCCCACCTCCTGAGGTGAGTTTAGTTTTTCTTTTTATTTCCATGTCAAACCATAGGCATTATTCAAGGTTTGTACAGCCACTTCTTGTAAGTTTCAGGGGTTTAGTGTTTATAGGGACCATCGCCAGAGAGGAAGACACTCATCTCTAGGGATCCACATTTAGTTGGGGGCAGGGCTATTCCTAGCCTCCCATGTGACTATGGGAAGGCCCCATCCCTGAGAGTGCAATGGACAGTCTTTGGTGCCTGAACATGTTGCTGTGTTTTCTAGTGCATGGTGAAAAAGTACGCCTGAAGGAGATCTTGAACAAAAAACAAGGTATTTACAACTTCTTTTTCTCTAGGCTTTTGCCTTTGCTGCCCTGCAAAAGCCCACACTCCCTATAGCAGCTGAAGCCTTTTGAAACCTGCTTCAGCTTACATCCCTCCTATAGCTTCCACCAGACCCAAAGTAAATGTTAAAGCCTTTGAGTGAAGACAGAGAAAGAGAGAGAGGAAGAGAGAGAGAGAGAGAGAGGGAGAGAGGAAGAGAGGAAGAGGCAGAGTTTAGTGTCAGACTGCATTTTGGCTAACATTTCAGACACCTGAAAATAGAACTGCCTTTTGAAAAGTGTGAATTGAACCACAGTATGTACAAAAATGTGATTTAAACAATAATTAAGGAGTCTGCTGGTGTACTAAGAGTTAGTATTAAAAAGACGTAAGTCCTGAAACCCTTTATTGACTTAGTGATCAAGCAGAATGTGGAGAGAAGGGAGGGATCCTGTTGCCTCCTAGCCATGCCATATTGGAATGGTTTTTTTGCTAGCTCACCCAGTGTCCCTCCAGCTTCTCATGTTGTTGTGCTCATACTCAAAGGTTCTGCCAACTTCAAAGAAAGTTTCATTGTGGAAGCTAGAAAAGACTGGCAGAGGGAAAGAAATAGAGCAATTTTAATTAAATCCTGAGAAATAAAATATCTTCAGCAAGACAAAACCCAATCAGGTATCCACAGATCTGAGATGGTCAGGTCTGTTTTCTGGACCCAAACTTGATGCCCTGATCACAGAGTTCTGTTGGTCTTTCTGCAGAGACCCTGAGGATCCTCCGTCTGCACTGCCAGGAGAAAGAAAGTGAGGCACAGAGGTAAGAGCTTCCAGATGAGCCTGACTGTGTCCTACTTTTTTCTTTATTCCGGTGGAGCTGAGAGATTATCACAGCTTATATTCTTTCTCTCTGTACAGTGGAGTGACCAAAGAGTGTCATTCCCTTTTGACTGGCAGGTTGTATTTGTAAGGGTAACTCTCACTGGGATAACCACTCATTTATTTACATTATCAGATTTCTTCAGCTGGGTTGGTTGTACCATTTACTTTTTTGTCATTTGGCTGCTTGTCTATTTGCTTGTATGTCCATTCATTTAGGAGTTGAGTCAACCAGCTGTCCATTATCTCTCCATTTATCTGTTATTTTTCATCTGCCTAACTATTTGTCCATCAATTTTCTGCCTCCCGATTGCTTATATAGCTAGCATGTTTTGTGACCAGAGACTACCAAGCCTTGGACCACTGAGAATTGAAGTTTTTGAGAAAATCAGATGATAATAGTTTGTGTTTGTACTTGATTATGCCTATGTTGCTTTCCCTAAATCTCCCAACAATATTTCTATGGGGCAAGTGTTCATGTGACCACCTACTCGACACCATGTTACTGGGAAGACCTTTATAGAGGGATACAATAGCCCTAAACAGAAGGAGGCAGAAACCCAACCCCAGCCCTGCTTCTGGGGAACCATTCAGAGAACATGATAGAGGGCTGCCTTGCCCCTTTCTAGGAAGCACAACATGTTACAGGAGTACAAGGACAGAATTTCTGCATTGAACTCACAAATCGAGGAAGAGAAGAACAAACAGAGGCAGCTGAGGTAACCTCCAATCCTGAGTCTTATGGGTTTCAGATAGGTTGTAGATGAGAGTAATTTAGGGGTGGGAGTTAGAGGGGGAGTTGGGTGAGGATCAAGGTGATACAGGTACTCCTAGTGAAACAGCTTGAGTAAAGCCCCTGAGGTCTGTGCCTGAAGACTCCAGGGTTGGGCCAGACTACTGGGTGGTCTCAGTCCATCACCCTTCAACCTTGTGTTGTTGGCCCCTAGATTGGAATTTGAAGAACAGCTGGAGGATCTGATGAGCCAGCACAAGGACCTCTGGGAATTCCATGTGAGTAACCAGAGATACTCCTCCAACCTTTTACATCTTCCTGAGCAGCACTAGACCCAAACCCAGGGATATAACCTAGGTCTTCTTCCTTTTACCTGCTACTCCTTGCTCCTAAGCAAGCCCTGGTGGTCCCACTGTCAACATAACTCTGAATATAGTCCCTTGTCACTACCCTCATGGCTGCCAACTGTCTTTATTGCCAGTCCTGCCCACTTGTCACAGATGCCATCCTATATTCATTCAGAGGTAAGAAGGAACCCAGGTAAAACCAAGGTTGAGTCATCCATCAGGGATGTTCGTGTGTATCTGGACCATCACAAGCACAGAAAGAACATAGGGACAGAGCAGCCAGTGTTTGCTTCTTGGGGGATCCCAGGCACCAATCAAGAAAATAGAAAATATCAGGAGAGGAGGAGTCACTGTGGAGGCCACCAGAAGAGTAGTGGGATGGGGAGGAGCTCCAGTGCTATGCGGTAACTGATTCTTCAGGTAACAGTCCAGATTTGCTGCTGTTTGCAGGTTCCTCTATTGTAAATACTTGTCCCAGGACTATTTCAATGCTTGCTAAATTCCTGAACATTGACAATTGCACAAACCTCTTCAATACCACACTGTGAGTATCTAGAGGAGGGAATAGCCAGTACAAAAGCCCTGAGACTGGAAAAGAGGCAGAATCTTAGGAAGTGAGGCATGGTGAGCAAGGGTATGACCAGGTTCAGATATGATTGAGGCATGGAGAAAAGCTGGGAGGTGTTTACAGGCCTCCTTTCTTCCTTTTCAGAGACCGGAGCGGCTGGCAAGGGAGATTTGCACCCTAGACAGCAACAAGGAGCAACTGCTCAAAGAAGGTAAGGATAGAGGAAGTTGGTGACCCTTATCTGATCCTCTGTGCCCTTGCCTGCTCATTTACCTACTTCTGTTGCAGAGAAACTGGTTGAGGCAAAGTTGGAGGATGTGAAGCATCGGCTCTGCTCTCTGTTTGGGGCTGAGGGCCCCTCCACTGTCACTGAGGGACTTTTCCTTCGCAGCCAAGAGGCTGCAGCTGCAGTGTAAGATGCAGAGGTGGGAGGGAGCATTTAGGGAGTGGCCCATGCTGACCCTCTTCTCCCCCCAGGCAATTGTTTGAGGAGGAGAACAGGAAGGCTGAGGAGCTTCTGGCTACAGCTGCCCAACACCACAGGCAGCTGCAGCAGAAGTGCCAGCAGCTGCAGCAGAAGCGGCAGAGGTGGGTGTGGAGCCCATATCCCTGCCCAACAAAATGGTGGATAAGAGGGTACCTCTTACCTTCTTGGCTTTCTGTCTCTGTGTCTCTTCACAACCCTGTCCCTCCTCCACCCCCTTCCCCATCTTCTTTTTACCACTCCACCCTCCTTCCCCACCTTTTCCCATCTAGGCTGAAGGAGGAGTTGGAAAACTATGGTGTGCAGGTCCCTGCTCAAGTCCATAGCATGCAGGAGGAAGGAATTGGCCTAGGAGAGGTGGTAAGCCCTGGTGGCAAAGAGCAGAGACAGCTCTGAAGGGTATGATGGGGGAGGGGGCAGGAGGGCAAGTGAGATATTGGGAGTCCTCAGAGGATGGTCTGCAGGGAATAG